CCTGCAACTCACTTTCCCTGCTCACAGTCCTCACCCCAGGCACCATGATGCAGGTCACTAATTTGCCCATCTTCTGGCAGGAAACCCTGGTGGTCCATACAGGGGTGGACTTGAGAGAGGTTCAAAGCACCTGCACTCCTAGTCCTGCCTCTTTTCTATTCATGTTGCCAGTTCAAAGCCACATTGTGGCCAGGATCAGAAGGGTTGATACAATGCTTGAGAGGAACTGCACTTTTTGATAACGTAACAGGCTGAAGAAGTCTCAGGGTTCACCTAGAAGATTGATGATAAGGTCAACTCTCTCTAGTACTGCCAGCTTGAGTACAAAGGATGAGGGAGATGGATTTGGACTTGCAGCCTGGCTTGGATTCTGGTTACCCAACAGGATAGGTGCAAAACAGGACATTGACCTCCCTCACCAGCTGACGCCTGAGATAATGAGGTACCAGGGGAAAGGAGGGATTTCTATCCCAAGGGTGACCAAGAGGATGTTTTGTTCTTGCAGAAGAAATGTTGAATGAAATATTTCAGCAGAGCTTTGCGACGGGAGTCAGGCTGGGGGGGAGGTGGGGTCCCTTAGTGCTGTGGGAAGAATTCCCCTTCAGAATGGCAAGAAATCATCAGCTAGAAAACAGCAGTTGAAGGTCTCCAGGAGGTAACTGGGGCAGGCCAGATCTGGATTTCTGCAAGCACAGGAAAAATCAGGAGAGAAAACTGAACATCAGCTGCTCCCTTTCCCTTTCTCACTCAGTTTGCTGTACTACCTGCTCTTCTTTGAAGGGTGCTCAGATGACTGAATATTACCCGTTTTCTTTACACCAAACTTGCAGTGCACAAGGTTTGCACAAAATTTCCTGCCTGGGCCACTTTCAGTAGGCATGGCACATCTTCAAAGACCTAAAAGATCAAAAATGGGCAGCTTGTCCCCCACCATACAGGGAGGGAAACTGGGACAGGAGGAAAACACATAGGAAACCTGGACCGAGCCTGGGAGTGGGTCAAAAAAGAAAAAAGTCAGGATCTGGTCATCATTTTTCCAGCCTAAAGAGTCTGGGAGAGGTTTGAAAGACCAATTTAGGAAACCAACTCCCATCCAAAACAATGTGAACTGGGCACTTGCATCCTGCCACAAAGTTTTTAAAGAAAAAACATCAACAGCAATAAAAAAGCAATCCCAAGAGGCACAAACATGTTCAGGCGGAGCAGAAGTGAGAAAAACTGTCTTGAGTCCCAGGTGAACAGCACACCGACACTGAGATATTTGAGATATGTTCTTAACTGCAGGGCTGAAGGGGTGAAGAGGAGCCCCTCGTGCAGCCAGCACTCACTGGAGAGTTCAGCAGCTTCCACCACAGAATTAGCTGGTTGCAAACAGGTCCTAATAGCTTTGCCTCGTAGAGCCACAAAATCCAGAGGCTGGTAGCTGCCAAGGGTTTGTTCTTCCACTGCTTAGTGCTCCCCCCCAGGGAAGATGGGGCCAGACACAGTCTCCAGAACTCAGTAAAATCACAGGGGATAAAAGATGAGCAAAGAAGGATGGAAAGTCTTTTCAACAGTCAAGTGTCTGTGCTGTAAGTCCCAAGTTGACCTCCTTTCCAGGGCTGCCAGCCCTTGTGTTTCCATCACAGGTTTCTCAGAGAAGGATTTATTCCCTTTTTTTTTTTTTTTCCTTTACACCACAGCTGAGGAGTCCTGATTGCAGACTATAACATGAAAACCACGATCCTTCATGCACACACAAAGTGCAGAGAAAGATGCAGTACTGCCGATGGTGGGGAAAGCAGGCAGATGAGGAGAGATACCCCTTTTCTTTTTAAGCCAGTCTCAAGAATTTGGCTGACCTGAGTGACAAGCACAAAGTGCTTTGAGTCCCTCATCATCAGCTCCCAGGAACACATCCCAGTGCTGACCAGACCCCATGGAGGAGGACAATGGTCCTTGGCATCTGGAGGTATGTAGTCACTTCTCCACCAAAGCCGAGACTGACTGAGAACCTCCTCAGTGAGCAAATCACAGCACGTACCCTCCATCAGCAGGATCCATTGCCAACTGCCCTCACGGAGCCAGCCAAGAGCTGGGCTTGGGATAATCGTATCAAAATTCATCAGGCCACCAGCCAAGAGCAGGGCTTGGGATAATCGTATCAAAATTCATCAGCCTAATTACTGCTTGTGTTCCCAAGTGGGTGGAGAGAGACTTCAGCAAGCAGAGTAAACATGCCACAATAGCCAGCGGTACCTCCGCACGGCCAGTGGCAGGACTTGCAAGGAGGCTCTGCCTCTTTCTTCGCTTTTTCCCCTACATACACTCCAATTACAAACTTGACCATTCCATGCTCAGCAAGTGCCTCGTTCTGCAGAGACCTAACGCTCCAGAGGGGCTTGCAGGTCTTATTCAAGCTCATGCTTTTGAAGAACCCCCAAATTCCCACACATTCTGGGGAAAACTAATGGCAGTGGTGGCTGCAGGCTAAGCCTGCCATGGGATGCTCTACACAGGATCCAGACTGGAGCCCTGCACACCACATATGCCATGGGGGCAGCAGCAGGGCAGCCCTGCACAACTTGATGTCCTTGGCCATCTTCAGAGCATCACCACACAAATGTTCCTGTAAAGAGGAGCTCGTGGTGGTTTCCCCACTCTTGTGGCTGCCTTCACTGGATGTCTCCACAGCAGATGTTGTGGTCGTCACAGCCATGGTGATTCCCATGAGCTTGATGGGAGCAGGCTATATCCCACCTCTTATCTGACCAAATGTCCTCCAAATCCTTCACAGAGCAACCAAAATCCTGAACAGAAAGCCAGGACATGCTGGAAAGTCCCTAAGCAAACAGCAAGGGTGAAACACACTACTTTCACCTTTCTGGTTGGGGTGGGGGAGATTTCAGATGGATTTAACAGCTCTCAGCAGCACTTTGCTGACTTGAACCAGAGTAGAATCAGACCGGTGGTGAGCACGTCCAACACTCTTCTTCCCAGGATAAGACCCAACCAGGACACAAAGTCATCATTTCCCTTATGTATATGGGGAGCTCCCCCACAGACCCTTTGAGAAGCAGGACAGAAAAGATTCTTGGGATGCAGGAAACCAACAGAGGGTAATTTCTCTGGTGGGACACCTTTGCTCAACTACATAGAAATGCATTACCGGCCTTGATAATGGGTTGATAGCTACTGACTATGGCTCAGCAGAGTTAGTCGGAGAAGAATGGTCAGAAACTCAAGTGGAAAGGTTGGATTTACACCCGGCACCTCTGGTGGTGTGGAGTGATCTACCTGTTCTCCCCATCCTACTGCAGTCTCCCCACATTGAAAATAGAGATATGTCCATCACCTGCCTCAGGGGTGTGTTGCAATGGTTAACTCATTAACCTGTCCATCCAAAATGGCACATGAAGCATGAAGAACATCCATGCCTGATATCAGCACCATTTATGGAATCACATCCAAACTCCTGGACCAGGACTCTGGAAAGTAATAGAAAAAACACAGCGAGGTACCACTGCCAGCCCACACCAACAGCAGCAGACCAGAGACCAGCGGTCACATCACCACTGGCCTGGGCTTCACGTGTCACTGATTGACTCAAGTTTTAATTATGCCCCAATATCTCCATGTCTCCCAAAACACAAAGCTTTCAGCCAGGCAGTTCCTGCCAGCTGAAATTTCATAAAGAGCAGCTAGTGACTAAGACAGGCCAACCTTCAAGTCAGATGCTAACAGCTTTGGACAAGTGTGGGATTTTTACACCCCTATCTGCAGGAAAATCTGATGTTTAGTGCCCTGACTGTGAGCAGGTCACTCTTAAACCCCTGAACATCCCAGGGAAAAAAAAAGAAAAAAAAAAAAGAAGAGAAAAAAAAAAAAGAAAAAAAAAGTGCCGGAGGGGAATTGTACTGGCTCTAATCCCTTCTGCCATTCTGCATATTCATGGAACATTGTCATAACACATCAGTGGGACAAAAGGTCTGTCGGCACCTCCTCCTCATTCCTTTGATAAACCACGAGACAAATGCTGAGTAAACACTTGGAATCCATTCACTGCACTATTCTCATCGGGATGAGAAAGGGCTCCTCTTTCTTGCAGGCCCAGAGCTGCTCAGCCTAATAAAGTACGGCCCACGGCCCGTGAAAAGAGAGGCCTATGGATGATGAAAACATGGATTATCTCATTTCACCCTCCTTGTATCAGACCCTGCTCACATTCTGAGTGCACTTGGTCTGACACGCAATTACACACACCAAAAAAAAATAATAATAAAATTAAAAAAGAAAAAAAAAAGGCAGGGGAAAGGGGTGTTTAGCGAATGGGGGGACTGTCCGTGAAATTTCACAGATGACCTTTCCCTAGTGGGAAAGTAATTTCTTTCTGCCCCAGCCATCGCCAGGAGTTTTCTCATCAATATCAGCATTCCCCTGAATATTGCAGCTGATGGGAGAAGAGACAGCACTTTTAAGACAAAGCTTTGCAGGTCACTTTAACGGCCCGATTCAAGCTGGTGCTGAGCCCCCAAGAAGTCAATGGGATGTTGCTGAGCACTCCATAAACGGCTCCTGGGCCCTTCCACTGCCTTGGCTCTCTGTTGCCTGCTCGGCAGCGGGGGTAGGCAAAACCCCCTTCTCCTCGCACTCACACGGCTGGAAATCAAGAGTCCTGAGGGCAGCCAAGTGCCTGGAGAAGGAGGAGTTACTTCTGCACCCACGGCAGGATGCAAGCACCTCCGTGGTTTGGGACCTCTGGGTGAAAAGCACGACGTGAGACAAACAGTTTGGGGAATGAGATCTCCTGTGCTGGAGGTCAACGAGCTCCAGTGTGGAAATAAAACCCTCCAGTCCCTTCAGAGGTTTGGAGCCCACCAGAGCACAGAGCAGGCTGGTGAGGCTGGGAGCAGCACAGCTCCTTCAACCTTTATTCACACCCCACAAACAGGCAAAGAGATCAGAGACACATTGTCGTATAACTAATAACCCCCAAAAATCAACATAAAGGGCCTCCTTACCGTTAGACGTTCAGTGACTTGGCCAAGGTTACACAGGACATCAAGCACCAAAGTCACCCCCGAGCGTTTTCCAACGCCTACAGCAGCCTCCTCCGTTGCCCAACTTTCTGGAGGCTGAGCTAAAAACGCCTGCAATGAAACAAAACAAAACAAAAAAACCCTTTAATAACCCAAAACAAAGCAAAAAACTGGCTCTTTTGAAAACAATAATCTGAAAGAAATATTTTCCATTTAAATATGAGCCTTTATTTGGAAGAATATGAAGAGTTTTCAAAGTGAAAATTAATTTCAGAGATAGCACACGGGGAATGAGCACACTCAAAGCAATTGTGCCCATAATAGAAAACAAGACAGAGTTATGAAATGCTGTCAAATGATTAAGAAACAATAAATAGACTGCTGATTAGCTAGGGTCTCTCCTCTTTTAAATAAATGGCTCATAAACCTGTCCACAAACTGAGGGATGAGCGTAGTGGTTGTAAACAGCGTATTCATCGCTTTTGTCCCCGCAAAATCCTTACGTTCACCCTTAAGTCTCAAACAAAAAAAATAATACGTGAGCAGTTGTTCCTTGGCCTGGCACGTTACTTGTGCTATTCAAATATTTGCGTTTTACAAGGTGTTTGTTACAAAACCTCCCCGAGGACTCTGCCGCAGCCTCCCAGCAGCTCCAGCCTCTCGCTGGGCTCCGAGCAGAGCCCGTGTGAGCCCCCAGCCAGGCTGGCCGTGCCGGCTGTTTGTTTTCCCCCAGCCAGGGACTCCTCTCCCCGAGCAACCAAGACGCAAAAGCAAGTGTGAAACTTGCAGGGCTTCCAAGCGGCTGTTTGTTTTGCTGCCCGAAAGCAATTTTCGGGCTAAACTGTATTTGCACGTGTAACGGCCACATTTTCCCTGCCCCAGGGACGGGTGACTGACGAGCAGGCTGTCACCTACAAACACCTACATCTGACCCACACAGCGACACAGCACAGGACTTAATTAAAATATTAGACTAATGCAGTGATTTCTTTCCTTAGATGATGTTTTTATTTCCCAGTTGCTGCATTATTAAAAAAAAATAAAACTGAAAAAAAATCATCAGTGTTGTTAAGCCCAGACCTTGAAATGATTTATGCGCATAACTCCTATTCGAGTCCAAATGATCTCAGCTGTCTTTGGGATACAAGCCTCAGAGAGCTCCTCACTCAATATTTCTTATGGATATAAGTCTCCATACAGTTTCTTTGCCTGCCCAGCAGCGGGTCCAGCCAGCAGGGCCTTGGAGCTCTGAATTCAACCCCATGGGCTAAACACTGATTTTGAGCACGTGAAGATGCAGAGCAATCTCCCTTCCCTCCTGCAGCCACCACCTGCAGCCAGTGGTACCAGACTGCCCTCTCCACCCGCCAGGACCCAGCTGGGGAACAGATCAGTTTTGAAAAGGAGCAGGAACAACCCTCAGCCTGCTCTGGGCAGCTTTCCAGGGACTCTGCTGTGCTTTGCCTGAGGTCCCACAGCTCCTGTGCCGTTCCCCAGTGTTGGGATGCAGGCAACTGCCCAACCCAGGGCTGCTCCAAGGATGCTTGGCGCTGTGCAGGGTAGGAGGCTTCATATGTCTCACTCCAGCCCGTTGCTCTCCAGGGATGAGTCTGACACCCTCAAGAGCTGTCAGGCCCTGGGGAAGGGTCAGAATTTGGCCCTGAAGACTGATGGAAGGTTTTTTCCATCAACTCCTGCAGAAGCAGCTTCGGTACCTGTTGCATCCTGTCAGCAGCGCTCAGGTTAGAGCATCCAGCCTTAAATCGACAACGTTCCTCTGAAAACCCGATAAGTAATTGGGGGATCTGCTAATAGGGCTTGTCAAAATCAATTGGGGTTAAACACCTTTAGCTACAATAACAGTCATCTGACCCCGGGCTCCAGAAACTGCCAGGCTCAGAGGAACCCCGGGGGGTTATTCCTGGCTTCCCATTGCTTTGAGACAGATAAAAGAGCAGACGATGCAGAGCTGGGTAATCCGTTCAGCCCGTCCCAGCCATGCACTGAAGTGACAGCTCCCAGAGTTTCTGCAGAGCTGGCTCCTCCTGGGAATTGTGTGCAGAGGGGCCAATTTGTTCAACAAAACCTGGGCAACCAGAGTTTTCTTAAATTCAATTGCCTGAAGGAGAAGGCAAATAGCATTTAAGCGGAGGAAAGTGCATTAAAACCACATCTTTGATACAATGGCAGATACACCCCACGCTGCCAACGTCTGAAATGATAATATTTTTTTTCTTAAATAAATAACTCAGCGGCAGGATCCCAGCCTCCCCCAGCACAGGGAGGCTTCACGCTGCAACAGCCGCATTTCCAGCCCTCCAGGCCAAACTGCTTCAACGCTTCCCCTCTTTCCTGGGCTCATTTCCGAGGGTGGGCAAGCTCAGGAGGGACTGACAGTGGTACCCACGCTGTGCTGAGGATCCACACATCCAGAGGGCACTTTTGGCTTATGCTTCCCACCATCTCCCAGTAGGGAAGGCACAGGAACATCAGTTAGCGTGGGCATCCTTCCCAGATTGGTACAAAGGGCTTTTCCTGCCCTTGGGAACTTACTGCCTTTAGACATCTGTCTTAACACAGAGGAAGGCAAAGAAGGTTGGTTCAGGAGAGAAGCAAATATTTAGGATTTGGGCACTTGCACAACCCAGTGGGCCTCTTGCTGTTTGTCCAGTTGCGGGATGCACCACCACCTCCTCCCTGGGAGCTTTTCATCTGTGCCTTCCTCCCTCCTCCATCTGAGCACTGTCTGTGACCGTGAGGACATCGGGG